ATTTGTAGATAATACCTGTAAAAATTGCGTGTACCTGCCCTTGCAGAAATATATTATAATAATGGCATCGATGCCCTACTCATAGTCCATAATCTGTAATAGCCTGATAAGCTTGTAAAATGGTGTTTATGTAAATGTTGTTCAACAGGATTTGAAACACAGAGGATTGTGTAATATCTAAAAATAAATTTTAACGAGCCCAACATCATAAGAGGAGAGATTAGGGTCGCTGACCACCAACCACCCACATTTGTCAGGCAGAATATTTCGTTTGTTTCAGGGTTTTCATGATTTCAGACGAGACAATCAACCAGAGATGCTAAGGTTGGTCTCCTACACTCTCTACTGAGACTCATGTTTCTAATTTTATGTTGAATTCTATTAAGATAACCTATTAAGTTTTAACTTGAACTTTTGCATTAGGACCTAATGGCTAGCATCTGATGAAAAAAGAGAATTAAAAGAACAGAAAGCAAAGGAAGTCGTTATTAGAGTTCCCTAACACTTTACTCTACATTGATGTATTTTCTATTTTAATAAACGACCTTCCTGATTCGAACTTCCACTCCCCATCCTTTATTTGAACGCGTTTCACCTTGTTGCATACCACAACTCACTGTTCTTTATCACTGTTTTTTCTTAGATAAAGACGCTAACCACACTTCATTCTAGTAGCGGAAGTTAATATGACTTTTATCTACTGACTTACCATGCTTTTGTCTATCCCACTACAAACCATTAAGCATTTTTTGGGGTTTGTGTCCAAATACCTTGCTGCTCCTTTATTTCTCTTTTCCAGCATCACACCCAGTGCACAAATATTAAGCTTCATACACCTGAAACAAACCTAACGTGGGCGTTTTCAAAATAAGGGCTCATACCAAGCGTCCCTTAAATATACTTTATTACAATTATAAACTTCTTAAAAAGTTGTCTCGTATAACGTCTTAGCAGTACCAGAATCCCAACACAATGATGCTAAGTTTGGACCTGGTGTTCATCCTCCATGGTCTGTGAAACAGACCATAAAAACTGCATTCATAATACGGTACCAAACCAGATTGTTAACTCTCTGGGATTCCTGCTCGAATGCACCATCTTTTATTTTTAGATTCCTTCTATTTGGAGCTCTAACTGGAAAGCGACTTATATTCAAATCAGTCTTGTAAATTATGGATCCTGTCTGTAAAAATGGCGTGTACCTACTCTGGCAGAAACATATTGTTATTACTTTAATTATCTGTTGTTTAATCCTGGTTTTACGTTACGTAAGGTGTAATTATTGTCACGTTTGATTATGAATTCATTAGGTTGGACCATCTAGAAAATAAAGGGCATATCGAATAAGCATAGAAGATTAAGTACCGAATGTTTTTACTTCTTATAATGCCTGACGTTAGGCAATCACTGCGTATGTAGAGATCGTTAAATCAACAAGTTTGGTTGTTAACACTGATGGTGCTTAAACGAAGTGTCGCTTTCTGTCCCATATGCATGGCATACGAAGAATTCATCAAGCCTATTTGAAAATGCAAGCAATACCGACTGAAACTCATGCAGAGCCAAAATGTAATCAAGTGTTGTCACCATGTCTTCAAGAAAACTTGTTTTCCAATAATTTACATGTTCAGGGCTTCTATTGTATTGTTAATGATGGCTTAGCATCCACCTTATCGACATTGATTTGAAAAGAGCACAGTCAAGGTATTGGTATACTTGTCTGTCGTCAAATGATTTAAAAACCTAGTGTTGCGACACGATTTAGGCGGTTAGTAGCCGGGTTTGGATGGAGGTTCAGACAGACGCCGAGGAGTGATATCAAGTAGTATTAGTACCGAATTAAGTTTAGAAATTCGATGGGTACACCCTCCAGTTTATATAGGATGACCAAAGCTATTTATGTGGCACATATGAAATCTTGTTTTATCTGCAACCTAACTAATTATCATGTGGAACACCCATGTAAATGAGTGACCCATCTACTCGGCTTGGGCTGTAAACGTATGGCGTCCTCGAAGGTACACCTGATTGTCCACACACAACCTGGCCTATCTCATCATGATAAACAAGGAAATTCCTTCGCTTGGTGACTGGCGTGAATAAATTATATTACTGTTAAAACATAAAGATACCGATATATCGAGAAGCACTAAATCTAAGCCACTTAACGGTTGTAGGATATTAGTAGAACGGCGTACCTAATCGTGATTTGTTGCGAATGCGTGACCGAGCGTCCTCAGCTATATGTCTTCATTAAAACTAACGAGGTCAGCATCAAATGTGGAAACACTGGTGTATATGTTTGTTCATGGTTTCCTGTCTATTAGTTCGCATTAGTCATAACTGAACTGTCCATTATTCATTGATTTGTCACCAAACACAGAAGTGGTTCGGCTTAGTTGCTGATTTGACAAGGACTCACTGATATATTCACAGTTCTAGGTTGTTTGTTGTCTAAAGTGTTCACAACCACCCGCAGTATAATTCTACTGTTTGAACGTGAAAAAATATGCTATTTTTCTTAGACCCCAAGTAGTATGTGTTTCACTGGAACAGTACAAGCCTTGGTTACATAGTTTCTCAGAAAAATACACTTTGTGACAAGTCTGTGAGCAATGAAATTCACTCGAAATTTGAATACTCACTTGATCAAAACTCTTGAAAGAAAGATAAAACCTACCTCTGGTCAAATGTTACCTTGGTAAAATACCCTAAATCCATTCTGTCGAATGGTTTCAAATGGTTCTAGATAGACCAAAACAACTAAAAAAGTGGAAGTAAAGGCGAACAAAGGGGAAATAAAGGGGTAAGTGCTTCGGAAGAGAAAGGGGAAATAAAGGGGAAAACGCATCAGAATGTCGCCTTTTCGCCTGTCCGGGGGAGATACTGCGGATTTCCCCCTTTTTTGCCGCTTTGTCGATAAATTGCTCACTTTTCGCCTAAATATCCGCTGAATTGTCTACTTTCCGCCTAAATGTCCACCAAATTGTCTACTTTTCGCCTAAATTTCCGCGGAATTGCCCACTTATACGCTTAATTGTTTACTTTTCGCCTAAATACACACAGAACTCCCTATTTTCGATCCACTGACATAACCCCAAAAGGTCTCTTATGTTCTCCTTTATTTTCAACAATAGACCGAAATAAAACTGCAATGCACTGGAAAACCGATGTATCTTTAAAAATTTTTATTTAAGAGGAAAATCGTATCATTGTACAAAATTATAGCAGAAGCTTTAGCATCAATCGTTTAGCATAACCATGGTAATTGCCAATTCATTGTTGTTAGAAGAGATCTGCAAAAGATGAAACTGGTGATGTATTATTCATAAGGTATTTGCATGTAATCTAAAGTTAACTGACACTCAAACACACACTCTCAACACTACTATAGTTTTCCGAATAAGTAATAAAGTAAGCTCTTTGACAAAATAATGTTTAATAAAAGGTAGGTAGGACATTAAAAAAATTGCATGGATTATTCCCTTCAGCCACATTCGTTCGCCTATTGAGAATTGAAGTAGTCGTCCTGTGAATTAATAAGTTTAAAAAACAGAAAAAGTCACAACAATATTTGAATGACATGTCTTGGCACAGCCAAATACTTTAAGCTAAACTTACGGTTATGTCCGTTAACACTGATGACTATAACTATAGAGCCGTAAGGAATTTTATCACTTTAAATTAGTACATACCTGCCCTTCTTTCCTTCTTTTACGCTTTATCACTTTGTCTCTGACATCGTGAAAACCCAGTGTGGCTATGTCGTACAGCTTCGCAAGATCTTTTTCGTTGACAGAGGATGATAAAAAGCGATTTGTTAACACACCTGAAGTTTAAATATTAAATATGAGTTACTTCGTATGCATCCGTAAAACCGACATTTTAGAAGTGGTCGTTTATAAGAAGTTCCAAGTAACGTGAAGTTACTGGCAAACTCAGGTGTTAAGAGGTACGACAGAACATACCTCATTGAGGTTTTCGGATCATCACCTGATAACCTGGTAACCATTGCCATCTGTAATCGGGACAAATTGTTCAATTAATGTTGATGACTTACAAATCGGTCTCTGGTTCCTTTCTGCTGCAAACCAGTCTCCAGCATCTGCAGCTCCTCTTCAGATGACAAAGATAACTGCTGGCTGGAGAGCCCGCAATCGAATCGATGCGGTTGTTCGCGTTCGTTAGACTTAGATAGTAACTGCTTAACACTACTACTCAAGTCAGTAATTGCCGAGGATATGTTCTGCAAAATCTTGTACAACCCATCAAAGCTGAAAAAGTTCACTAGATGATGCAGGTGACTTACTGATCCGCTATAGCACCACCGACATGCTTAGATTCCGATGTGGCAATGTGTTCTCATCCGTAGAAGTGTTTCCACGGTGAGATTCCAGTATTTACATTGAAAGTAAAACATCTTTCGCCGACTGCAGAGAATCTATAGTGAATCATAGTTTCTATGTTTGTTACTTACCGAACTCGTTAATGGTTTTACATATCAGAACTACCCAATTGTCATCTGGTTGGTCGCACCTTTGTAGGTGGATATCGACCAGGCCCGTTGGATAAAGGCACAGGTCTTTGCTAACAATCCACTTCTTGGCTGCTATCATGGGTTGTTTCTTGATAGGGACGTCAACAATGACGTATTGCTTGTTAGCGGGCTTCTATAGAAGCTTTAGCTTAACGGGCTTGTGTATCTAATAGCAGTGTATCACCGATGATGCCAGGTAGAAGTCTAGGTGCACTTAACGACAAAAGAGAAGAAAATATCAGTAAATTATTGAGAGATACTGACCTTAACTTCTTAAAATATGTCAAATAATCATGTTGAATAATACTTAGTAGTTTTTGGTAAATGAAAAATAAGAACAAGTGCCTTTGTTCCTCCCTGCCCATAACTTCCTTCAATACAATAAACATGAATCTCCAGAGAAGTCCTATTGACGGTTTCTGTTTGAAAAGGATTGGCGATTGAAGGGTTTGTTTGAGTTTATGCTTATGAATCTGCAGCGGACTTTTGGGTCTGCGTCTTCTTGGGATCTGGAAAATTGTAGTGATTATTATGCCCAATTAATCTATGACAACTCTTTCCCCCATTAAACTTTTTTAAACGGCTTATGATTCATACAGTTTAAATTCGAAATGTCAGTTAGGAGGTATACTGATCCTGTATATCTCCAGTTTGTGTGGAATGCAATTGAAGCATGCTCAAGAGATTCCATCGAATCTTCTTTTCACGAGTTGTTGTCCTTTATTCAAAGAGAATGTGATTCTAGATGCACTGCAGGAAAACTGCAAAACGAACTCTCAAACGCTATAAGCGATGGTTGTATAGAATGTAACCAACGCTGTTATGTGAAACGCGATCCAATGCCCAAAGTGAAGGATAAACATGATTGGTAGGTTGGGCTTGAGCCTCGATTCAATATCTGTATTCTTCCTTTTGAGGCTTGTGAACATGTATGATAATTTTTATGCAGAATATCTGGTGATTTTTTTAGGTGGCAACGTTATTCGTGTTGTAACTGAGTATTACTTCTTTTAGGGGATAAATAGCCTTGTGATAAATTATGTAAACGTTACACACGGCCTTACATTCCATAGTAAAACGTCCAAACACCACAGCGCAATAATTCTCACAGCTTGAGATGTTTAGGATTTGTTGGTACACTGAAACTGAGAGGTCGGTAGTAGTCACGTGGTTGTTTTCGCGACAACTATTCGCTTATGTAACAATACTCAACTCTAGTTCTTGAAGTAGTAGCTAATTGCGGATTGTTCGGCTTTTTGCATTACTAGTTTGTAAACTGGGATGGTGTAAGCATCCTAGAGGAGGAGTAGGCACCAATGTCTTTTTTGCAATTTAGCGGCATCATTTTTACTAATTCTCCGTAATCTTGCGCCGAATTGTTCTTTAGCTCCACAACAAAGCTTCCGTCACTTCTAGAGATGACTTTTGTACACTCAGTTCCACCAATATATATATATATATATTGTAATAGTGAATAATAATATTTGTTGTTTATTGGAAACAAGCTCTTGAATTTATTGATATCACCGAGTATCTGTAGGGCCTACAGTGAGACAAAAAATCACTAGTTCCAACAGTAGTAACTGAACTGCACGATAAGTACATTCCATAAGTTCATCTGTCCCACTCCTTGGCTTTCGGAATATTCTGGAGACGAATCTAAAGATAAGATGACAGTAGTAATGTAGGTAGGTTTGCTCAGCAAGAACAGATATTTAGTATATTGACGATTTCATCTGACAACACATGGCAGTTCGTAACTATATTACATAATATTCACTGTATGAGTTTGTTAACAGGACTAAGGGAAATTTTCATGTGTATTCACCTTTAAGCTCGGAAAAGTTCGAATATTCACACTCAAGCAAAAGCTGTATTGGCATGCATTGCAATGGACAATCTTTTATCTCAATGTGATAGTTGGCACGCGCGTATGTTTGCGGTTTTCTAAACTGGCTCTTTTTTAGCTCTGAGAAGTGTGTAAATTCCCGGTGTAGATAACTGCAATGCGTGCCCAAAAAACCTGAAATTACTGCCCTAGACGTATTCAATGGCTTTTCGTGACGAATCATTAGTCACCGTAGTATTACACATTCTGCAGCATATGCTTTAGGATTCTAGTTTTTGTTGGAGTCACGTTTTTTTATTTTGGGGAACGTCTCAACCATTTCCAGGTCGTGGGTCATTTGTCTGACTTAATACTGCTTAGAAGTAGTTAAAATGTAGTTACTCAATGTCAAGATACGACATGAATGCTGAAGACATGTTTAGTATGCAGCAATCTAAGTCACTCATTGCGCGGGTAAGATATTGTCTCGCTTATCGAGTGAATACGATGTCAGTGCACCTTTTTGCTGTTGCACAATGTCAAAAGGTTGAGGTCAGTCATTTGTAGATAAATATCCGATTATTATTGTTCCCTCCGAGTTGCTAATCTGTGGGAAGCCAACTTAAAAAGGCTAAATACTTCAGTGAGCGATAAAAAGGCTATGAGCAAGTATTAAGTGAAGTAACTGCTACGTTTATATCTTTATTTGATCGCAAACATTGGTGTAAGGGGGCACCAAATACATATGCGCCACACTAACAATGTAGAACGTATGATGTAGCGAAACTCCATGAAAATCATCCACCTGAGCTACAAACCTCCACCATCTCAGTGATATTGATTATTCAACTATCTCTCGGCAATGTAGTATTCATGACTCAGTGTAAAGTCACGTGCTCCACAATTCGTTACCATGTACTAATTTAGTCTCATTTGGTCGATTAGTATTTTTGTTACGAAATGTTCTACAGAACATGACGATTAAGGACGCACAAGATACCGTCGAGCTATTTCTGCTCACAAACAGTAATTTCGTCGATTGATGTGACCAACGTGAACCAGCACCAACTGCCAGCTACATTTTTTAGAATCCATTATCAGTGTCTCTAAAATATTAAAATTAGGTGGTTGTTGACCATATAAATCTATCCAAGCGGCTTTATTCCTAAACATAGTGTTCACTAGCGCAAAAACACTGGATTTTTCGTTCCAGTAGTTAACATATCCGTCTCATTTTTGTCAAAATACTGGGAAAATCGCTCATATATATATATTAGGCGGCGTTATTTCATACTACTATCCGAGTTGATTTGTACCAGCTATCTTGATGATAGGTTTGACGCCTAAGAACTATGCACATTTATGACATATCTTAAGTGTTTTTGTTTCTCCAATCCCTAATTCTGGTTCAAGCCTTACTGATTGTCATTTCTTAAGTCATTGGCTTTTTTCGGAAATTAGTGGTAGTTTCTGGGCCTCGTTAAAGAAAAAACATCATCTCACCACAAAAACTTATTTTGTTTCAAATGTGCTGTCCAGTTTTTAGTCAACTAACGCTGTATCTGTTTTTCTCCCAATTCAGGTATTGCTTTGAATGTCACGGACCAGGTCATGTTGTATCTTGTCCAACTTGTTTCAGAGTATACCACCCCGATTGCTTGCCAGTTGCCTTATCATCACAACTGTCCTCTGTTATACCGTGTGAATCTGGTGGATCCGAAGCCGATTCAAATATGTCTAGTGGATTCCCACCTACTAGCCCATGTCCTGTTTGCCAGCGGTTGTCGCGAGCATCTAATATATCAAATCCTAGCACCCCATCGGAGTTACATAAAATCTTCCAGGTTGTCCTTGATCGGATCCGCAACAAAGTCAATTGGAAAACAATGCAGGTTGTTGGTTACTTAAACGAACCTTTACGAAATAACTACCTCGTATTACGGCAAATTAATACTCGTCTTATAACCGAACGTATGCGAGCAGATCCATCATCTAAAGATTGTTATCCTAATCGAACCTCCCTTCTGATTGATGTGGATTTACTAATTCACAACACCGCCATTTTTTACGGTTCTAAAAACGATATGAGCAATATGGCTCGACAGATACGATCTCAGCTAGAACGAGAATTGCGAGAATCATCTTTTTGCATAGATTGTTACTTGCGTCTTCACTCAGCATCAGTAAATAAATTAACAGCACCTTGTCGGGTTGCTCATCGTCTCCTTTGGTTCCAACACAATGGGTGGTCCTTTCGCCCTTGCAAAATGTTATATGAGAGTACGGAGGGCTACGAAGTAGTTTGCTTTGGTGGACGACATGAGAGAGTTTTTGTTCCACTAGCGAGAGCATTTGATATGAATTTTACAGCAGATGAACTTGGTTTACGAGAAACACCACCTTTGAAAAAAGCACTGAATGAAGCTGAAGAGTACAAAACAAACCAAGCTATTTTTGATCAGCAAATGAAGAATTCTGATCATCTGCCAAACAAGATGCTGGCTGAACCTATCTCGATAGATTCCATAAGAAACAATTTAATCAGTGAGTCTATATCTAATGGAACATTCCTGAAAAGTGCTACTTCTCCGCCTTTAAAAAAGAAAAGACCTGGTAGGCGTCCACTATCTACTAGATCTCACAATGAAGATTTCAACGTATCGCCTGAAATGCAGGTTTTCAAATCTCGTAAATCCACTGGAGCAAATTCACCTGTGTGGTGTCCTGTGTCACAGCATTCTACGTCTCGACGTGACTCACATTGGTCAGATAATATGAAGAATGTTACTGAAGGTAAGAGTAGTCACAAAGACTACTTGTATTATATGTACCCCCGTGCATTATTTTAACTCCAGTCTAGAGCAATAAATAGTTATCACACTTTTAAATCCTCGTTGTTCAGAAGTTTAAGAGATTTCACACTTTCAAACTTTCTTAATTAAATTTATCTTAAAGCTCAAGCAGTTGCTATTGGCTTCTTTTCATAGTCGGTAAAAATTAAGTAGAATTTAGCGTATTCAAATTTTTCAGGGAAAATACCAAGTTTTTAACAGCTTTTTCTGTCAATTCATCAAAAAATCATTTATCAATTATAAAAATTTTCTAGATGCTTAGTACGTCGAACGTTCATTAGGTCTACTGGTGGTTTTCATAAACTGTTGTTGTCTGTGCAGCTAATACATCCTTCATATTTGTCTCAGACTTTTTATGAGATTTTATCAAGCACTGTCTGAGCCTCACTTGTATCTGATGAAATCAAATTGCTTTCATTGGTCGTGGCTTTTAGACCATTCTCTAGCATATGATGAGTGTCGAAAAAGTGAAAATATGATTTCTTCGAGAATACAAATTTAAGCTCAGATCTCAGGAACTCAAACAATTTAAAGTGACTATTTTACACATGGTTAGTCCCTTTAGGAAACGGGTTATGCATTTTGCTGAATTTTATTGCCACTTGTGGTTTCATGGGATGTGCTAAATTTCTTATTTCTATTAATTAGTTTTTGGAAATCGAATTTACCAATTTTAGGTTCTCGGTCATTATCTATGATTGCGTTATAGCTTTCAATCTAAAATTAGGTATGAGTTGTCTGTTTCATTGTCCGTTCTAACTAACTCAAATAGTCTGCAAATAAATTTTCATTTTCAGCTGGTATCCATAGTCATCGTACCCAAATTGGGCACACTTCGTCTTTTCTATCTAATCTTTATTAGTCACTGGTTTCCGGAGGACATTGACAAAACTCAGTTGGTCAGTCAGTCAGACGTAACGTAGGACCCGACACATGTGTACAACGGTTCGGGTTGCCATATCCCATTAGCATAGTGAGACGGAATTGTCAGGTTAAATCCTACAGCAGTAGCGGATGTAGTGGTATTAACGGCAGTAGGAAGGTTAGGTATCCAAGGTACAGTTCTAATAAAACAAGAAGGACTTTCAAAATGTTCATTCCTATAATAGACGAATCATTGCTCCTCTTGTTTGTCACGTATAAAGTAAATTACCTTCGCTTTCGTAATCTCGTCTTCTAATAACCGTTGTGCACATGTCCTGATATCGCTATGATCTTTTATTCTTAGACATTGATATTGATTGGTTAGCGAAACCAGATAAACAAGTCTCTCATCTGGTTTAATTGTAAAACAATTGGTTACCTATTGGTTTTCCTAAATAGCACATGTTCATAAAAAATTTTGGTTCAGGTCCGACTAAATTATGTTTCTGAAGCCTAATAAACAAGTAGGCAGGAATGTATCGATCCAACAGTAGCTCATTGATTTTTCTCTTTCCCTGTTGTTCTGTTAGTAACCTTCATGTGATTTCTAGTCGCTTCTATCGGTCAAAAACTAAGTTTTTATGGAAGGACTGTGATAAGGACCCATTAATTCTATACCCTTCACATTATTAATTCATCTATTTTTTGCTTTCTTTCTGGTAGTTATTCACAACTGTTGGTATAACTATATCCGTTTTCTTGGTTTTGTTAACTTCCGTTTGGTGTAGGGTGACATCTTAGACCAATACACGATTGACACAGGTCATATGTCTTTGTGCAGCCTATCTTAATAAAAATAAGTGGTTTTTTGTCGTAAGTACAGTTCATATACACTAATACTCCTACAAGAGCATTTAATTTATATACTGTTGTATAAGCTGTCAACTCCACTTTTAAACACGGAGTTATTTCACGATGATTTGTTTTGAGATAAGGGGTTTTAACTCCTTTCATTCGAATTCCCAGAATAAAATGTTCATTAAGTTCATCGTTATAAACGGTGTAAACTGTTTAGATACATTTGCTTAAGCATTCTTATCACTAACTGTTTTTTAACAGTATGCCTCATAGTAAGACAAAAATATTAGTGAATCTCATAATTAGATGTTAAATCATTAGCTTACTTTATTCGTTTGTTGAAATTATTAATAAATTTGATACGGATAATAATAGTGGTCTGATTTTTTACTTCATTTTTATAGATAACTTAACTTCCTTATCGTCACTGAACAGTGACAGTGATGGTCCGGAAACCAAGTGCCGCATTTCAGAGCCTACTCCTGAGAATCCAAGTGTAAATAAATCGTCTATGAAACTATCGATACCTCTCCTACCTACTCCAACAAAAAGAAAGTCACATAAAAGAAAGCGATGCAACGAAGCACACTCAAGACCTAGTTTCTCCAACGGCATATCAGCTGTCCCTCCGAGCTGTGACTCTAGTTCATCCGAGCTTTCAACAGCGTCTTTTGCGGCTAAAACACAACGGACTATACGCATTAAGCCGTTGCCTTTTAGAAGTGAAAACAACGACATTCCTCTTTCTGTGAAGGAAACCAATCAGTCTCTCCCTCGATTGACCTGTGTTGACAGTCATGTCGTGCGTACAGAACCTGTACACAGCATGTCCTCCTCATCCTCTGCTGCATCTGGTCCTTCATCGGACCGTACAACTGTTCCTGCCCTTGCCTCTTCTGGTGGCCATACCCCTCCTGATTCATCAGCTTTTTCGGCCTCTTCAACATATTCTGATTTTTCCAAGAAATCACGTGGACGTCCGCCTAAGACTCATAAATCTACCAAGTCCTCTTTGCCTTCAGCGAGCGCCAAATCTGCTACTGAAAATTCTGATGATTGTTCTTCCACCCCGTTGCTGTTATCTGCAAGAAATACCTATGAACCCCCAGCTAATAACAAGCATAGTCTTCTTACAATACCGATAAGTTCTCCTATCCGTTCAGATAGGCTAACCGTTGCAGATGAAGATAAACAACATCCAGTGTGTTCTTTATCACCGCCTTCATCCTTATCAGATGCAGAGTCGGATTTGTCTTCTCTTTCTTCTTCATCTTCCACCGTGTCATCATCATCTCAGTTGTCTTCTTCCTCGTTGTCTTCAACATCCACACTTTCATCTCCTGCTCTACGGTTATCCTTCTCTACACTAAAACCAAAGATAAATGACGAACTGTCGACCGCTCGAGTCAAGCAAAAGTCGTCAAAAGACATCTTAACACCTTTCCAAAGTCAGTTAACTCTCAAAACACGTGATAATAAGGAAGGGACAAAAGAAGCTGATAGTAGTCAACACGTTCCCAAATTAACTAAATCAATTAAGTCGTCTCGCCATAACTTGGAAATGAAGGGACATTTCCGACCGTCTTCGCGATCTACTGCTATAAATACTTTCAAAAATACAGATTTGAATAATGACTATCAGGATGAAGACGTCGGATTCTGTATGGTTTCTCCGGAAAAGAGTCTAAAACCTGAAAAGGTAAGTTGATCCAAACTGGTTCTCTTTTGCCATATACTTTTTTGATCTAATCAATAATCTAGTGGGTTGATCATATGTCTAATAATAATAATTTCTTAGCATTTACTGGATTTGTCGAATGGTTTACATGGTCCTATCCATAAAGCACTACGCAGTCTGTACAAACACTAGTTCTAATTAACGGTGAGATTGTTTAGCAAGTCAGTACATGCCTGTGTTCTGATCTTGTTACTGAAGGTCCCTTGCTTTTGATGAATTTCTAACTTGAGATAGCGGTTAATCGCTCACAACAATTCTTGTATCATTTAATATGACAAAAATAATTCACCAAGACTACCAATTAAAAAGTTAAATAAATGACTGTCTCTAAAGTAATATTTTCTTTTAAGTTTCAATTGTAAACGTTTACATTCTGATTTGAATTTATATTGTGACTTTGAAACTTGTCAAAGATCCTCACATAGACTACCTAATCAGTTGGTTCGTCGAAAGTGTAGCTTCGTTTAAAATATGCCTAAATAAGAATGTCCAATTCGTTTTAAACTACTTACGTTTGGTTAACCGACACATTGCTGTTGATTTCTAAAGAGTTCCATGTATATCGTAATGAACTTTCCAAGGATCTTTACAACATACATGTTAGAAAATGATAATAATCACATTTATTTTTTTCGTTTTTGTTTATAAGAAGTTCTTTCTAGTTTTAACTACCTTATTGCTATCGTAGCCTTTTACTAAACTGTAAAATACCTGTGTATGTATGAAGTCTCGGTGTTCGCGTTTCTGATCTGAATGGCATTCAATCCTTTCTGAACAGTTTATTTCGTAGCTATTGGTTTTATTATCTGATTGGTAAATCTAATAAATACAAACGCTGGAACTTTTCGCCATTCTTAGTCAAGTTAACTAAACCTACATGTACGTTACTTTCAAGCTTCTTTAGAGATGAGGAAAATGTCAGTCTTTGGAAGTTTGGCTAGTAAGAAATCAAGTTATAGGTCGAAGTAACAATAGTGTTCGTATGGTATGTAAATCAGTGTTTTTGCAGCTAAACTGTTTATCCGTTTCCTTTTTTAGGTAACCGGAATTCTGCGCATTCCTGGCGATGGTAGTAATTCTGTTGACAATAAATCTCTGGGTTCTTCGGCACCCAACTCATCCGTCAAAAATTTCGCTTTTGATAGCCCCAATACCAAACTCAGTTCTAAAACCGTTCATCCTTCTGGCTGGTCTAGTGGGACGAAAATATTGTCTACATTTAATGATCAGCCATCTGCAGCGCCTCAGCTTACTCATCCAACTGGAGCAAATGTCTCCACCGGTCCAACTCCTCCTTCGAACTCTTCAGCATCTTCTTCATGTTACTCTTCAGTGTCACCAGCTGCTCTTTCGTCTACGTCTGGTTTAGGTTCTAGTTTAAGTGATCCGAAATCAGTAGACGCATCACCTGGTGAAGTAGCGACTATGCTAGGGAATGCACCTTTTTCTTGCTCATCAGGCAATGGCAGTGGACTGGTTGCTCATTTGCAGTCTGATAGCAATATGATAAAAACTGAGGTGTGTCTTAATTTTGAAATATACAATTATATTACCTATTCCTTTGATGAATATTTAATATTATAAAAAGTGTTATATTTGTCGCCTACTAATTTCTTTGATTCTCTTGTTACTGAAACCATCATTTTATATTACTTGTCTTGTAATCCTCTTATACAACATCAAGTGTTGTTCCACCTAATATACTCATAATGAATCATTTTCAGATTATTAATCTAAACAGCAACTGTCTTGTCTCATGTACCCGTGCTCTTAATTAGTTACAACACCAAAAGGATATCACTTACACACTAAACATTAGAAACTCCGTCCTCATTTTAATACAAAGCTTACTAAAATATCATTTCGTTTTAACCCTTTTATTCTTTATGTAGTGCTCTTGTGACATCAAGAAGTCAAGAGACCTAATTTTAAGGGACTTGGATAATTTTATTCTTTTCCAGATTCATCAAGCTCGATTGAAAAGTAAACCATGTTAATAAAAAGACTTGGTTGTACCTTCGCTATTCAAACTGATGTAACCCACAAAATCTCTCTTAACTACCTATCAGGGTTTCCATTAAATCCAAAGTTAAACAAGCCTTCTGATCCAATTTCGCTTTCGCGAACGTAGACATATCTCTCTGAAGATTGTTAATTAATTAGTTTATTTACTGGTTTAATAGTGTACCTAGTTGAACTCAAACATTAATTTATGTTTCTGTTTGATAAACACGGCTTGCGAATTGTCAAGGGTGTTTTTCTAAAACTTTTTAACGTCCTTTTTCAGTCGTTTTTATTTGTGAAATTCGATGGACAGACAGGGAATGTTTTCTTACAACCTAGGACCTAGTGCATTAAACTTTAGTAAGGTAAATAAATCAGTAAAGTAATAAACATAGATATCTTATTATCGACAGTTCTGTTGTACTTTCCTGACTTTAATCCTACGACGTCTTACACTAGTTTTGGTTAAGTTCGAATCCTCAGTAAAAAGTCAGCTTTTATAATATTTCATCTACTTTTTGTGATATCCTTTATTAAGAATTTTTTTATTAATAACGTGATTTCTAAAATGTTAACCATATGTATATACATATGCACATCTTTTAGCTGTATATTTATTTCAACACAATGTCAACATTTTAAATCCACAAACATTTCTATCTCATTGTTTGTAGGAACGAATTCATCGGATATATGCTGATCGACTTATTGCCTTGACAACTGAGAGAGATCAAGCTCGGGAGGAAGTTCATCGACGCGACATTTTAATCTCTGAACTTCGTCGTGCACATGAAGCTGAGATTAAACGAGTTAAACAACGAACATGGTGTCAAGTGTGTTTAAATGAGGCATTCTACCACTGTTGTCCCGGGACGGCATACTGTTCTGAAACATGCCAGTTTGAACACTGGACAGCTCAGCATAATCGCGATTGCCGTCGTCGAACAGAGTCACAACAGCAACAACAAATTCGTAGCTAGCATATTATAGACCAAGTATATATATATATATATATATATATATATATATATATATATATATATACTCTTCAACTCAGTTTCATTCCCTTCAACCCCATTTCTAGTCGTTCTCAACTTACTTTTAAGAATTAAGTTTTTTAAAGTTTGGCAGCCGTATTAGGGATGGAAGAATCAATTTTATCCTATTGTTATTATTATTATTATTATTCGCGTCAGAGTCTCTTGGACTGTTGAGCGCCGCTCAATCACATCGTTTTCGCTACATAGTATGTTTGATAGTGTATAGTCTTTCTTTATCTCATGATGGCATTGTGATAATAACGCGTTCTTGGTATTTTATCGTTATTGTAAGTAGAACTAATGATACTAAAACTAGTAATCATGAGCTTTATCATAACTATTCTTTCTTGACAGACCTAGGATTACACTAAACCCAGGAGCCAATAAATTTATTTCATTACTGATACTTCTAGATAGATTTAATATTTCTTTCTTAAACTGATCATTTGCAGATTGGTGAATTTTCCTTAGTTCACTGCAATTATTAACTTCGTTTATGATATTAGTGCTGTGAAGCGCAAGTAACAATGTATCCTGTATCTCACTCCTTCAATCCTCTTGTCTGATATTTGTGCTTTGTTGCGCTCATTTAAGTATATTTGTTTTGTTGTTACTTTAACATTCTTCAGTGTGTTCGATAGTCCACACGCACAAATACACAATCGTATATGTATGCATAGATATACACATGTAAATCAATCCCCTGTTTTTGTTTATTTTTCTATATCTTTTCATTTTTGTCTGTGATTCATACTATCTGATCTTTGTTTCTCCTGTCTTATGTTTCCCCTTTCATACTACTTCGTTAAAAATTAATCTATTGTATATGTACATACGTCTCACTTAATGTTGTTTTGCAACAAATCCAAGATGCTTATTAAATTAGCAATTTAATAGTTGTAGTTATGTATTAGTTACGATAACTCATATAGATCTAAGCTCTCGTCTTCTGCTTGCTTCTAAAAATCTCTCATTTTTGCGTAATATTTTAAAACAGTGTATTAGTATTTTTCAAATGATTATTATTCTGTCCTAAGAATCCTTTTTCTTTTGTTGCAGTATATTCCTACATTGCTTGTCTTGTTAAAAATTGCTATTGATAGGAGGTCGGAATTTTTACGTATCTATAAACGGGAACGCACACTCACAGTTCGTTCATCCATATGCATATGGATAAGGATGTAGTGGCAGAAAAATTTAATAAGATATATATATATATATATATATATATATATATGCAAATTTTAGCAACATGGATTCATAACTTGTCTTATCTCTAAATCTATATAGCAGCAGTTACCCATATAGTATAATAAATAATATATGTTTTCAAAATACTTCATAATAATTCGTTTTGTACTAGAAGCAAATAATTAATTATTTTTCTTTTCTCTTCTATCTGTACAGAAACAGTTGTAAATTTTCCTTATTGTTTTTTGTATACTTGTATGTATTTTTTTGTTGTTATTGTCATTTGTTAAACGTTATGTTTTATCCTAAAGTAAACCGCTTTTCGAATTTAATGGTAGTCTACTCTGATATAAATGATTATGCACAATCGGAGTGTTTTGAAATCCCTGTTTCAAATTGCTAAGGTGATATCTTACTGGGTTCTCAGTATGAAATAGGTTGCAGTATAGATACATTTTTTTCGTTTCAAGTCTCGCTGAATTTGTGATTATTTATATATATAAAGTGCTTTCATTCAACTATTGTTATTATTTCACCGATTGTAAGTCTCAAAAATGTTTTTCTAAGGATTTATCTTGGTGTCTACACACACCCACCGTGTGTGTTCAACTTGATCATGCGTTTTTCCTCACGTAAATTTCCCAAACTTTATTGCTACATAACTTGATTTAAAATCCATTTCCGTAAATAGTCGATATGTGAGAAGCCAATATTATTTCTTCGCTGTTACTTAATTCTGTTTCTTCATACTGTAATGTGCATTCTCTTTCCATTTTGTTTTGGTTGGTTTCAGTACAACCACCAGCAAAGTAAGTTTAGTTTTTTTATATGGCAGTGTACATGTACATTTCGCAATTTCGTTATTGCACAAGTTAATTTAAAATACTAAGTGTTCTTTCTAACATTGTCAATTTTTTTAATTTTTGGATTGGGAATCTTTTTCTAGTTAATGGTATGTCGTTTTTTCTTAGGAACACTATTGGACTTGTGTATTTTAGGGGGTATAGTGGTCGTATGTTTCCACCTGATTCACTTTTATTCTGTTCTATTTAAACGAATGGTCATAACAACATTGAATTCAGTTACTCTGGGGTATTCTGTTCTTTAAACTTAAGAGAACAAAACATCATCCTGAGTTACAAGTATTCTTTACCATCTCCAAATGCATAATTTGACGACCTTTCGCTAGGACCTGTTACTATGGTGTCACTAGAAGTTTAGAGTCGGGTTTCTGTTTTTAGACAATCTATTAGGTGTACTTTGGACCAACCAAAATCAAGACTAAGACTGGACGGCCGATTAAAATCGATCTCTTTTAACTGTCCATTGGACCAATATAAAATAGGATTATTATCTGATTAAGAGCACATATTCTTTGTATTTATTAGGTCTTGTCATATTTAACAGTTTATCGCTAAACCTGTATGTCTAGACTTTGTATTTTTTCCGTCACTATAGTAGTTTCTAATGTTCAATAATATTTCAAGTCTGTACTTACTTGACTCAGATCGTCAATCGATTTTAATTCGTTCTGGAATGGTTGAGTATAATCTCTGCTAGTTTATTACAAGTGCGATCGATAGACCAAATGTACTTTTATGGCTTTCTGCAAATCCATTCACTCTGTAATTATTATCTTCAGAATATAAATTATTATTATTATTCGATGAATGTATGACTTATACGCACAGGCTATTTCACAGTTCTTAAGAATTCATTGCTCGTATATTCTAGTTTCCACCCGTACGGAGATTTGTTTTTCGAAATCTCAGTTCTAAGTTCGACCTTTTCCTACTTCCAGTTTGAGACTAACGCTTATATGGTAAATTGATAAAAGAGGTTCTTTATTTTTACAAATATGATGGGCTTTGTCCAATTTTCCAAATTGGTACTTACGTATTCAGGTATGGAGACTGCAAACCATTGTCCTCAATGTTTGCCTCTGACTCCGGCTGTTATATCATTCTAGCCGTTGTAAATTGTCGAATACATACTCGTAGGTATGTTGTTGATAGACTAGGCATCCTAATTGTCCTTGTTCTCTATTTCTGCGTATTCTAAGCGCAACCATTTAGGTTTGTATACTTTATATTGTAGGTCAATGATAAAAACGAAGAGAATAAGTGGTAGTATTAAGTGAGATTTGTAGATTTTTTATTTGTATGCAGAATAGAAATGGATCGGTCTAGACCAACTTACACGACTGATTCGTTTGCTATTGGCGGGCTACCTAACCAGTGCAATATATCGTCTTCAGTTGAAAGTCGTTGAATAGAAATTCGGTCAATACAGAGGAGTCCTTGTTCTATACTTTTATGGTTGCTGGCAATACAGACGGGGAGGACTGTACTACCATCAGCTGTTCTAAAACACGTAATTTGAGCTCGTTTATTTCCATCGTTTCTGTTCACGAATCTGAATTTGGTGCAGCGTGTTGCATAAAAGAGTATGTCAATATCGTCTTCCTATATTGCGATATACAATCTGATAATCAGTATATGTTAACATGGGGCATACACATCCTTTATAGGTTATCCGAATCTCAATAACTGGTATTGTTACACCTCAATCTACGCTTAGTGTGTGTTGTAACAGCTAATGTCTAGCTGTAAAACATCTGGTGTGCAACATGTTGGTACAAACATTTCTATTCCTCGCCTATTAAAAGAATAGCTCATATTTAGTTACAACGCTCATTTTCTGATCAAATAGCTTATTCCTGTTCATCGCTTAGTTAATATGATTGGCTATCTAGAATCTCTAGTTTTGATTACTTGAACGGGTTATGCGCATGTACCATTACCAAGATCTCAGTTGAAAGTTTTGAATGCATTGATCATTAGGCATGTCATTAAATTAAAACAACAAACACTTCGAAATCGTATAGTTTACATGAAAGATCTCTGTCACAACTCAGTTCTGCGTCTACAGATCGAGATATGTTGACTATAATGCACTCGATGTTATTATTCTCGTGCAATCTCAACCCACTCCAAAGAAAATCTAACGTACATTAAAAGGCCAAATAATCATGTACGAATAGGTTTACAAATCAATAGTAGTCCATGTTATTTCTAACAGATGTCAAATCGATATGTATATGATCTCAGAATAATTTAAATGGTTTATCCAATTATAAAGAAAGTGAGTATCTGGAGCTCTTCATATATTGCTAAACCCCGCCACAGTTAGAAAGGAATACCTAGTCACCCTTCCAACATGGACATCTATTTAAGTACCCACGTATTAATCCTATTTACGTCTCACACCATTAACGAAACATGCAAATATTGCAACATAGTAGTAGTCGTTTTGGGTTTATAACTGATTTATAGTCTGATGAAGTAACCACTAAGAACGATCATTTACTCTAATACTCTCAAATATTTCCAACTTCATATTTCCATACTACAATGATCACATTCACAAATAGTTTTCACATTGAACAAAATGACTTGATATTAACATGATCGGACCTAAATCAATCGTAATTATACTTAAGGAACATTTCGCTTTGTTTCCTTTATACTAACTATACTGGTGTTAAATTGATTTGTTTACGTATTTTTAGTCACATTAAGTCACAAAAAGTTAGGAAATTTATTTCCTATTCATTGAGATTTCACAAATATAGGTTATGCACATTTTATAAATGTATTTTGACCACCAGGGTTCACTGAACCATATTCGTTCGGTATAATACTGGAAATCACTACTACTTCAGACCTTGTGTTCTTGAAATGTCGAAACTCGACATCATTCATTCTTCTCATCATTACCCGTGCATATATCGTGAGCTTCAATTAACCCTATAATGAAGTTTCGTGGTATTTATTGTTATTTCCTAACATTCTCCACTAGGATGACATCAATCATGTTCAAATAGCTTAAGCAATTTTTGACCATTAAGTATTCTGAGGAATTTGAACAGGGTAATTGATGAGAAACTACAAGTTGAGAATATTTTTGGCAAGACTAATCTTGTATTATATCAAAGCTCTAAGCGATAATAACTTGAGGAGGGGCGCTATAAATGACCAACAACGTCTACGTCAATCTATGGAATTTGCTACAACTCCTTTCAATCAGATAATGCCCGGAATAATGTTGAAAAGTCTTATTTCCGTCCTAAAAGTTACCATCGATTCCTCAGATACTCTTTTAGGCAATACTACGAGTAATTGCATCTCGCGAGACAAAATCGTTAATATCGGTTACGTATGAAGGGAAACACTGCAAAAAAGTTTTGAAAAATTTAGGAAATAATAAGTGACCTGAACGTAGTAAATGCTAGTTTTGTTGGAAGTGTGTAGTCTGTGGTTTTGAGGTAAGGTTGATCTTGAGTTTGATCTTTTTTCTAAATGCTCCTTCGTTGATGGGAAGGTATCATCACTGAAGAAGTAAAAAATAATCATTGAGCTAACAGAAAATAATCACCGTAAACATCAGTTGAGGTTGTCAAATTTTACTAATTTATTCTGTTACTTTTCAAGTTTACCAACTTTAAACTTATCCATCCTTCACACACTTTATGAAATGAAAATAATTCAACCAATAGTGTAATTTCATGTATATAAACTTATTGAAGATATAGTTTTATCACTAAGTCTTATTTTGAGGCCTTTCAAAATTGTCAATTATCGGTATTTAATTTTTTTTAAATAGTGACCTTTACAGGTGATCAAACCCAATGGAATCATAGATTGATAATTTAAAATCAAATTTCTAGCATGAAAATGAATGGGTATAAGATTTATGGAATTTTCGGAGTTTCGACTGTATAAATAATAATTATGCACATATTATCACAACCATCATACATAGACAAAAGTGTAAATAATAAATAAGAATATTCGATAGTTAGTGATTAGTTCTGGGATATGCATACTACTTATAGGTAGTGTGAAATTTTTGTTTGAAACATGTAGTTATGAAATGCCCTCTCCACCCTCCCTCCATTACATATACACATCAACATGATATTCCATTTCAACTTATTTATCATAGATATATTTGCGGAAATATTTTTGTATTGTTTCTTCAATC